CTCGACGAGGAAATGGATGTTCAAGTTCACTCATTCGTGGAAAACCTCTCTGTGAGTGAGCAGAAGCGTGAGCAACTCAAGCATGAAACCGCGAGAGACCCGGAACTTCGGGAACTCAGGTCCACAATTCATGCTGGATGGCCGGCAGAGAAGTCCCAAGCACTTCCCGCCACGCGACCATATTGGAATATGGCCATGCAGGCATGGCAGCGGACATCGTCGAGTTCTTCGAGGCGTTCAAGGAACCGGAAGTGCGCTTCAACATGATCCTCATCTGCGTCATTCTGAGTATCTGGTCGTGGAGTCTTCTCCAGTTCACACTCGTGCTCACGGGCGCACGCAAGACGCGTGGCGCCACCAGCACCACAAAGAAGAAGAAAAAAAAGAAGAAGAAGAAGAAGGTGCGGCCGCCGGAAGCGTCGCGTTACTACATCGACGCCGAGGCGGGCATCGTCGACGATGACGAGGAAGAGGAGCTGTGTTGTAAGTGCTGTCCATGCTGCTCGACAGACATCTGTGCAATCACGATAACGATCCTCTTGCAGGATGGACCGTTCCTCGTGCTGCGCCTGGTCCTCATCATTCACTATCACGTCGTCAGCTACATGAACATCTTCTTCACGTGCAAGAACGCGCTCGTCACCATACTGCAGTTGTACCGCATCGCCGTGCTCTGCTGCGGCGGCGGAGAAGAGAAACCGACGCCGCCGCCGCCGCCGCCTCGTAAGCCGCCAGCCGGGAAGAAACCACATGTTAAAACCCGTTCGGTGATTCCCCCAACCGCTTTTTTACTGCGGTTATTCCCCGTTCTGCCGGTGATTCCCCGTTTTGCCGGTGATTCCCCGTTCTGCCGGTGATTCCCCGTTCTACTGGTTATTCCCCTGCATAATATATTAGCCTATAAGCGATACCGTGCGTATATTTTTGGTAATTAATTAAACTATTCGTGCTTTAACAAACTCAAAATTCACGGAGACCATAGCTAAGACATGTGTTTATATGTATCTAAAATTTTAGAAAATGTAACTCAAATTGTTCGCGAGATATCTTACTATAAATTAGAGAATTTCTGTCTGTGTGTGTCCGGCTATACGTTTCTGCACCGCTCAACGAATCCTCTCCACACTTGTTCGGAACATTCTACAGATCATGACACTTGCATGGGCTATTTTTCTTTCTTCGCAGTTTTATTTTTTTCACATTCCACGTTCAAAAACATTAAAAAAGTGGGAAATTTTTGCACCGAGCGCGGGGAAACGTCACAACACGAAACCACCTAACGGGCATGGACTAGTAATTATAAACGCAAGTCATCAACTGACAGTATAGCTTCAGTCCGTGAGTGGTGTTCTACGACCACTGGGTGAAGAACCACTGGGGTGGGTTTTTTTGAGTATGCACTATACGTCATAAGTACCCGGATAACTCTAATGTAATATCAACCAATCAGATGCGAATAAATTCTGTTGTGCTTTCCTAATGGCGCTCTTCTGCTATTAAAATATTACATGGTGTCAGAATAATTACGAAATTCACGCCTAAAATGGAACAGTTTAAACCTCCATACCAGCTCAATTTCGATGGGAAACTCGGAGAGAATTGGAAAAGGTGGAGGCAGCTCTTCGAGCTTTACCTCACGGCGTCAGGTGCGGTAAGAAAAGATGGTGCTACGAAGATTGCTATACTACTCCACACGATCGGAGACGAGAGAATAGAAATTTACGATACCTTCACATATGAGGATCAAGAGTACTCTACAGGAGAAACAGAAAACACTTACTGAGGACATGCAAACCGAAACCTGTGATAACTGGTCCGGAACTCGATGAAATCCCGACAGCAGGAAGTTCGCTGGAGCACCATGAGCTCCCAGCACATGCCGAACGTACTGAACCGGCACGGCACAGCACTACCTACACTAGTCGTTCCGGGAGAATCATCAGGGAACCGAGTACTCGACTGTATCCACCTTGAATTGCATTTTGGTGGGGTTGAATTTCCCCAAAAGTTAAATATATGACAGGTAACAAAATGGTCATCAATCCATCGAAGACCAAAACCATGCTGGTCACTTCCTGACAGAAGCGTTATAAACTCCCATCCTCGGTACTCCATACTGTCTATGATGGCTCTGTTCTTCCCACCACGTCGAATGGGAAAATTGTAGGTATCTATGTTGATGATAATCCCACGTTTGAAGAGCACATAATGAACGTGTGTGCCAAGAGCTCAAAAAAGTTGGCTCTGTTTTGGCGAATCAGGAAATTTCTCGACCATAATTCCTGCATAAAGTTTTACTTTGGCTTTTCCTGATATTGATTATGGTATTGTTGTGTGGGGAAATGCCGCGAAGAGTTATATTGACAACGTTTTTAACCTGCAGAAACGTTTTTCGCGGTTGATTCTGAACATTCGTGCATGACCAACGTTTTTATTACCATCGATCTCTTTTAACTTGCAAAATTTTACGTTAGCAGGCACCAGCCTATCTTGATGTTTTTGTTTACTTTGAAACATGAAGTGAACTCCAGACGGACGCGTAGTGTGTGTGCAGATGAAACGCGTTTTTATCCGCCCCGTGCACGCAATGAAATTCTAATCAAATCGTTTCGGTGTACTGCGGCATCCGAGTGGAATAATTTACCGCCTGACGTTCGAGATGCCCCCACCATTTATTCTTTTAAAGTCAGTCTAAAGATAATCTTGCCCTATCAATAGCCCTATCAATTACCTCAGTTACTTATTACCTTAGCTTATTTTTTTATTTTGTTTTTAAATCTGGGGGCACCTGGCACCCTTCCCGCAGGAGGTTATGCGGCCCTTGTGTAGTCCATTTTTTAAAGAGCAACCCTCGACGTACGTGGCCCACAAAATTATTCAGATGTACTAAATATAATCTCTCCGCGTGAGCAAAAAGCTACGAGGTTATGTTTTCTTATACTAGTATATATCTTTATTTGTACTTGGTTTAACCTTATCGGTTAAAACCCGTTCGGTGATTCCCCCAACCGCTTTTTTACTGCGGTTATTCCCCGTTCTGCCGGTGATTCCCCGTTCTGCCGGTGATTCCCCGTTCTGCCGGTGATTCCCCGTTCTGCCGGTGATTCCCCATTCTGCCGGTGATTCCCTTATTCTACTGGTTATTCCCCTGCATATCCACGCCTCTTCTCTGTAGATGGCACCCATATCAGCAAAACTAAGCTTGCCGCAGCTGACTCACGATACTCAGTGCCCGTCTAACGTAGGCTCCCGAGAGGTGGCGTGACGTGGGCAAGTATGGTTCCGTCAAACTATAAAAACAAGTCATGAACGCGGTTTGCGGATCGAATAGACTGACCACGGTGGAACGACACGTCACACGTAACTGCGATAAAGTAATATCCGGTGTGTTGATATGTCTACTTGATGCCGGTAAGTTGTAGAGTTATAGTTAATCGGGAACCGTATACGCGGTAATCTTTTATATCGGGTACGCGGTAATCTATGATATTGGGTTACATTATTGTATTGTTGTACTGGGGTTTTGGGTGAAGAGACTTCGGGTTCTCGTAGCGTCGACAGCGTATAGAAGGTAGCAGCTAGCGTTGTCTCGTAGATAGCAGTAGAGAGTAGACGTAGTCGCAGATTCTTGTTTCACTAGTGCTTTATTAGTAACTAC